TCCGCCTTTCCAATAAAAGTAAAAAAATAAATCTTTAAAAAAAAAAACTGATGCTGGGAGCAGAACAGGTGGGGGTTATTGGGCATCCCTCCAACTGCAACATACTGGTGTGTGTGAAGACTGGGCCTATGGCAGGCTGGGCTGAGTTAGGAACCCATTCGTTTGTGTGAGAGACATGGCTGGGAGTGACCAGGCAGCTAAGTGCACTGGCTGGTACAGATAGCAGACTATACCTGACCCTGCACTGCCTGGCACACATGAGTCAAGACTGAGGTCATCTTAAGTGATGTTTCTTAGGCGATTCCCCAAATAGATGGCTGGACCCAAACCCTGGCCACAAGTCCCCATTCCTGGGGACTGATTCCTGGTTGGGATGCTGGGAGTGGCCCTCTCCCTTACCCTCCCCTCTCATGACAGATATATATATATATGTATAAAAAGAAGCAGAGTTTGGAAGCAGTTGTCTCACCCACTTTCCCTCATTCCTCAAGCCTCTCCATCCTAATCAGTGATCCACATGGACATGAATCCCTTTCAACTAAGTAAACATCAAAAATAAAATCAATTTACCATTAATACAAACAAACAAAAAAAGCCTGCCCACAGGGAAAATCACTGGGGTATAGTCCAACCTTGACACGCATGTATAAGTACTGGGCCTCTGCAGCTGCTGAGGCCTCTGCAGTGGTCACCATGCCCAGATGCACAGAGGGGACATGACAGCCAGCTCACCTATGTCAGCAGAGAACAATGAGTGCCTCTTCAGAGGATGGAAAGCATAACAGGTTGAACCACTTTCCTGGCCAAGCTTTGTAACATGTTTCTGTTCTGGAGATGTACTAAGGTGGGCTTGGTAGGCCAAGAGTTCTTGGAAAGATTTTCTCAACCCTCAAACAATAAAGCCAACAATTTCTCAGAACTATCAAAAGCACTCAAGTAACACCCTCAGACACTTTGCCCCTCATTGGAGTCTCTAAGGTATCATCAAATGACTGTCCCCCATTTCTGGGTGCTGATGTAGTAGGCCAGCAAGGAGTGCCCCCCACCTCCCCTTTCACTGCTAAGGACACAGTAGAAAAAAAAAGTAGAACATTTGTCTCACCCACCTTGGTCTATACCTCAATCCTCCCCACCCTAATCAGAGACTCACAAGGGCATGAGTCCCAATAAACTTTAACAAAAAAAAGCATCAATACCCAATCAGTGGTAACTACTATTTTCACATTATCACACAGAAATGTCAGTTAACTCTAACTGAAGAAAACAAAGTCACTCCAAATGCTGGAGAATTACAACTCAACAAGAACACCTGCATGAAATGTCAGATCAGTCCTTGTACACTACTAACACTTCCTAAGGAAACAGAAGTGATGCACAATGTGTAACCTAGGCCTCACATGTACAACATCACGGTGAATTACCACAGGAGGAAAAAGGAGGCAAGAATCAGCATCCACATGGAAACTAGTACATGTCCCAGCTGCTCCTCTTCTAATCCAACTCCCTATTAATGCCCTGGGGAAAAGCAGTGGACAATGACCCAAATGCCTGCGCCCGTTACTCACATGGGAGACGTGGAGGAGGCGGCTAGCTTCCGCCTTCAGTTTGGCCCAGCACTGGATACTGTGGCTCTTTAGGAAAAGAACCAATGGGAGTAAGATCTTTCTCACTTTCAAATAAATATATAAAATTTTTTTCCTAATTAAAAAACAAGCAAACTCATTCAGAGAAATATAGGGTTTTTTTTAAAAAAAATATTCATGTATTTATTTGAATGGCAGAGAGAAAAACAGATCTTCCACCTGCTGGTCAACTCCACAAATGGCAGAAATTGTTTTGGCTTCTTCGGGGTACCCAATACGGACACAGGGGCCTGAGTGCTTGGGCTTATTTCCCAGGTGTACCAGAAGCAAGCTGGACTACAAGTGAAGAAGCTCATTCTCAAACCAGCATCCATATGGGACTCTACTACTGCAGGCAGGGGCTTAACGTGCTTTGGTACAGCACCACCTGAAGAAACAGATTTCAATCAAAAAGAATCAGGAATTGGTCATCTGTGGGAACAGACACAGAAGAAATCAGGGCACAAACTGACCAAGACCATTTATTTACATGGGTATTCCATCTCTGAATGATCGCATTCTTATTCGAAACTTGCCAGAAAACAAAGATGTCAAGACTTTTCGTTTTCTGAGATCACTGAATAAACCCATGTTCCATGCAAGATACGGACATGACATCCATTGAAATCATGACACAAAATCCCTATCCAGGTGGGCAAACTAAGTAAAAAGCAGCAGGCTCTGCACCAGGACAGAGAGCAGCCTGCTTCCAGTTCCCCCAGCTTCCCAGTCCCTGCAGATCACTCTCACTAACCACATGAGCACATTCCGCCCCGGGAGCTCACTCACACACTGACTCAGGAAAATCTAAGCAGCCACAAAAAGTAATCCTGGGAACTCCACTCATCACGCTTTCGCCTCCCAACAGCCTGGAACACTCCCTCCAGCAACCTGCTTCTCTTCTGACACCACTCCCTCCCTCAGAGTCAATTTAAGGTTTTAACCTGTGGAGTTTGCTTTGTTACTGCTTTTAACACCAACTGTATGATGTTTGCTGAATAGCAACCTTCCTGCACCTGCTAATTAACAATTCACTGCTGGGGCCCGGCGCGGTAGCGCAAGTGGTTAAAGGTCCTCGCCTTGCACGCCCGGGATCCCATATGGGCGCCGGTTCTAATCCCGGCAGCCCCGCTTCCCTTCCAGCTCCCTGCCTGTGGCCTGGGAAAGCAGTCGAGGACGGCCCAAAAAGCTTTGGGACCCTGCACCCACGTGGGAGACCCGGAAAAGGCTCCTGGCTTCGGATCGGCATAGTATCGGCCCGTTGTGCTCACTTGGGGAGTGAATCATCGGATGGAAGATCTTCCTCTCTGTCTCTCCTCTCTGTATATCCGCCTTTCCAATGAAAAAATAATAAAAATAAATCTTAAAAAAAAAAAAAAAACAATTCACTGCTGACCATCATCAGAGTTAGCAGAGCTGTCAGGTCCAGGGCTCAGACCCTCCACACGGCTCTCTACTCAGATGCCAGCTGACAGCAGGCGTTCACTCTTTTGGGGTCTCACTCCACTGAAGCTACCAAGGGATCCCACCCAGAGCTATCTCATTAGCACAAGCTTAGCTAGGTTCCCATGCACAGTGCGATGCAGAATCAAGACTAGATAGGTGCAGAAAATCCCTAGGTCACAAAGAAGAGCACTTTCTAAGAATATTGCCTTTTATTATTCCAGTCACAAATATACTCTCAAACTGATAAACTTTCTCTCAGCCACCTGAAATTAGAACTTCACCTATATTCCCTTTGGTACAAGCTATCCTCGACTAAAAGAACTCTAGGGATGCAAAACGAAGCTGCTTTGTACTCAAGCTGCATGGGCTGGAATCTTCCTGGGTCTTTGCAAAGATGTTACTCCCTAGACAAGACTGAGAGAATCACAGGGCATCCATCATTTGTCTTGTCCCTTCAACACCAGCTTCTAAGAAGCGGATATTAATGTCTCCAAGGAGTGACACTGTAGCTGGGAGAAGAAAATCTTAATGACCTAAGGGGCTAGCGGTAGAAGACAGGAAGCATACAACAGATGTTCCTGGGCCACCAGTTACCACTCTGAATGCCACTCCTCCTCCAGCTGCTGCTGCCTTTCAGAAGGAATGAGCCAGGGACTAACAAGCACTCTGGACTCCAAGGAAACTGGCCACCTTGGCTTATCATTCTCAACGACGTATGAAACCCAGAAAAAAGGAAACGCAAAGGACATACTGACAGTGAAGTCTCCAAGGGGGAATCTCAAACTGATGACATTCTGATAAAAATTCCTACACTGACGGTACCCAAAAGGAGACGTACAGAGAATTTTTTAGACTTATTTTTTGTTTATCTACCATACAGAGATTTAAAAATAAAGTTCTTTCATCTGCTGTGACACGCCCCACACACCTGCCACAGTCGAGGCTGGGACAAGGCTGAAGCCACCAGGCTGACATTAAATCCTGGTTGCTCATACTGGTTTCTCTGCAGGCTGCCTCGTAGGGTGCGCCTGAGCCGCAGACTGCTTTGGAAACAGGAAGAACTCAAACCTAGGCATTCTGAAACACAGGCAAATCCAAAGCATCTTAACCACTCCAGAGCAACGGTATCTTACACTGGAATGTCAGGTGGACACTCACTCAAGTGTGATGCTCACAGGCAGAAATCAGTCCTTTCAAAGAGCTACTGGTTATTTTGTGAGAGGAAAAAAAAAAAGACAAAATTCTGAACTTCAATGCAATAGATTATAGGGAAACCAGGGAATATGGTTGTCAGCTTTAGGGCATAAGTTGCCACTCAGCAGTGTAGGTAGAGCCAGACATTTAGGGAGCTATTACCAGGCTTAATGTTCTCTACTAAATCCTCTAAGATTCCTGGAAACATTTAGCTCCAACTTAAGCAGTGAGAACAGGTGGCACTATCAAACTAGTTAGGATAAAGCAACTCAGGCATGGGTGGGTGCATGGCTATCCCTGGGGTTGTGCTGTAACAGTCACTTCGGGTTAGTCCCTACTGCGCCCTCGTTACTTGTCCACAAGGTCGCTGTGCCGCCCAAGCCTCTGCCCACCACAAGGCCACCACCAGACGCTGCCCTTCAGCCTTGCAACAAATCACAAGGTAAACAATTCTATGGTTCCTAAGCAAACCCGCGGCTAGCAGCAACAAGAAAACCAGAGCGGACCCCTTGGAAGGGCTATGCAGGGAGGACCGAGTTCTGAGCTTAAGACTCCACCGCTCTCTCACAAAAACTGCTCCACCGCTCTCTCACTGAGGACTCTCCCTTCCTCACCGCGCCACTCACGAAGACCTGAGGCTGAAGGATTCAAAGCCGCACCGCCCAGGCAGAGCGCACGAAGGTGCCCGCTGCGGGCCCACCTCACAGCCTGTGGGTCTGCGGGGACGGCCTCACTCACTCACGGCTTTGCAGCGGCCGAGGAGCCGGGGCGTCCTCCGCGGGGGAAAGCTCACAGGCAAAGAACGGCCGCAGATACCGGGAGCAGCCGCGCAGCACAACCAGGAAGGAGAATATGGCGGCCAGGCCTGGCTCGCACTTCCCCTGTCACGCCTGATTGGACAGACGGCGAGTACGCAGCAAGTCAGAGAGGTGGGGAGCCAATCACCGTCGCGCTGGGTGGGCGGGCGTCACTTGGGATTGGGTGGTGGAGTGAGGGGCGGGGCTTCGCCTCAGGCCGGACACTGCCCGGCGCTGTTTTGCAGCTGGAGCGTTCCGACTGCAGGGGACAGTAACAGCGCCCGGGGCATCCTTCCTCCTGCGCTTTGTCCTGCCTCCTGCACTTTGTGGTGCCGGCTCGGCTTCCGGAGCCGCCGCAGGGCTCCCGTCCGTCCCCGGCGCGGGGGCCGGTGGTGGTCGCCGCCATCCAGCTGCCGCCCTGCTCACGGACAGCACCAGAAGGGAGAGCTGCTTCGTGAGTTCACCCAGGAGCCTTTCACAATATGCTCTTTTGTAATAAATTCAAGTCCAAGTTTTCAGAAAAAAAAAAAAAAGTATGGGAATCCACAGATGGGTATTAGTCTTCAGTAGTTACAATTTACCGAATGTTTGCTGGATTCTGAACACTCCTGTTTTGGGGTTTTGTTTGTTTGTTTGTTTGTTTGCTTTTATCAGGTAGGTAATTTGACTTAAAAATATTGACTAAATTTATAGGGCCGGTACAATGGTTTAATCAGCTAAATCCTCAGCCTGGAAGTGCTGGGATCCCATATGGGCGCTGGTTCCTTTCCTGGCTGCTCCACTTCCCATTCCAGTTCCCTGCTTGTGGCCTGGGAAAGCAGCAGAGGACAGCCCAAAGCCTTGGGACCCTGCACCTGCATGGAATACCTGGAAGAGACTCCTGGCTCCTGGCTTGGGATTAGCTCAGCTCTGGCCCTGGTGGCCTTTTGGGGAGTGAACAGCAGATGGATGATCTTTCTGTTTCTCCACTCTCCGTAAATCTGCCTTTCCAGTAAAAATAAATAGATCTCTAAAAAGAAAAAAAAATTTACTTGAACAATACTTGAAAATAATGTATACATTAATCTTTTCAACTCATGCCTCTTACTGATGTTCGTTTCTGTGTTTTGTCCAATAATGGTGTCCCTTATTTGTTATGGCCACATAGTAATTCACTTGATTGCATATATTGATCTATGAAGAACTGTTTGATTCCCTTATCAACTTAGGTTTGATTCTCAACTGCAAGTGAGAGAAGGAAACCCTGTCAAAATCTACACCTTGAGAAAAACTTTAGTGCTCTCTGTTGGCAATGCTGGCTGTTTGAGATCCATTGTGACCAGTCTTAATTACATTTTTATTTTATTTTTGTTATTATGCTAACAGTTAATTCTTATTGTTAGAAGCTGAGTTTTATTAAAAGGCTGCAACATTAATCTCAATGGTTTTTTTTTTTGTCTTTGACATGAATTATTTACATGATTTATTTTGGAATGCTAGCCACTTTTCCATTTTGTAGTGTATCCTGTTTCTTACTTATCTCTTTGTACCAATAATGTTTTGCTTAAAATAGTTGCATCTCGGGGCTAGTAAGATGGCAAAGCGGGTGAAGCTGCCGTCTGTGCTCGGCATCCTATTGGGAACAGGCTGTTCCATTTCCAATCCTGCTCCCTGTTCATGACCAAACATGCTTGTGTGTCTGTACCCATGTGGGAGGTCAGAAGCTTCTGGTTTCAGACTGGCCCCAGGCCAACCTTTAGGCCATTGGGTAATGAACCAGTAGAGGGAACATGTCCCTTCCCTGCCTCCTGCTTTCTCTCCCTGCATCACTCCCAAAAATGAATACATATTTTTTTAGAAAAAAATGAAATAGCTGTGTGTCTTTTGATGACACATCTGTGCTATAAACTTCCTTTTTCTTTTTGTGAATTTTTCTGTGTAATCAATGTAATGGAATTCAGCAAAGAATTTTAAGTATCTTCCCTGTTTATTGCCACTTCGCATGAACCTGGGAAATGAAGGAGTACTTTTCTTCTTAGATGTCTAGGATATACTGTGAGTATGGACCTGTATTTTTTGCTTGTGGAATTTACAAATTGGTTAATTTTATCTTTCAAATTCTGATTCAACTTCCATTATGTTGGCCTGTCAATGTTACAAAATATTTGTGTTTTTGTAACTCGGTTTCCAAAATGTAGAGTCTTTTGGTTTTGTTTTAAATAATCTTGAGAAAATATTTTTCCTTTTATTAATCTGATCATCTGTAACACCATACGCTCTACATGGGGTCAAGGTCCTTTCTGAGTTAGACCAATACACCCTCCCACATGGAACACCTGAGCTGGGCGGTTAGCATTAACCACCACCCACCAATGCACATGAAACCTGCCTGGCAGAACTAGACCACAGTACCTGCCAGGGAGTGTCAAACAGGGCATGTGTCATGTTAGCCTGGGCCATAACGCTAACCAGCACATGAGAAAACTGGACCTGGTAGCAGATTCTGAGGAGTGTATATGGGCTCACCCCTGTGGCACTGCAATATCTGCTGATTTGCTCAAGAGCTGGGGAGGTGGCAGGAGAAACTCACCAACACTAATGGGTACTGGAATTGGGATCAGGCCCGGCTGGGACAGGTCATAGCACCCGCAGGTGCACCCAAGAATTGGGTATAGGGCAGGCCTAGCCATGACATCCACAAAGACTAAAACTGGAGGGTAGACTAATCCAGATAAGGGCCTTAGCACCTGCTGGCATGCATGATGAGATCTGGGTGTGGGAGTAGGCCTGGTGGAGAAGCTTAGGGAACTCATTTGGTTGGCCATAGTTCCACTGGGCAGTGTGTGATTAAGGATTGGGTATTGATCAGGTCAGGTCAGGCAGGGATGCTTCAGTTGCTGGGAGGTGTGTGGGTGGATTGGGGTTGGGTAGGGTGGGTAGGCTGGGCAGGGCCAGGCCAAACTGTAGCACATTGGCATGTGTGATCATCAGCATGGGGAACAGACCGTGCAGGGCTAAGCTATCACATCTATGGATTTGCATAAAAGCCAAAGTATGGGACAGACTGTGCAGGGTTAGGCTACAGCACCCTCCAATGAGAGTTGGGATTGGGGGCAAGTAAAGTCAGGCTAGGCTCCAGCGTCCCTTGGCAAAGGCCAACTCAGCAGATGGGCTATGCCAGGCTGGGTCAGAGCAACCACGGACAAGCATAAGATGTGTGGCTGGGAGCAGGCCTGGTTGGGAGCTAAGCATATGCCCTGCCTGGGTTACAATTCACAGTGGTAAGCACTAGAGCTGAAATGGAGGCAACTACGTGGGCTGGACATAGCTGCAACAACCCTTGGCATGACTGTGTACTGGATTTAGAATGTGCCAGATTAGGCTAGGCTCCGGCACCTACTGGTACTCATGAGAGCCAAGGGCAGGGGAAGGACATGTAGGACAGGCTGGGCTAAGCTGGGCTAGGTCTCAGCATCTGCTGAGCCATGTGAGACATGAGTTTGGGAGTGGCCAGGTAGGGCTGGGCTATAACACAATGCAAAGAGTCAGAATGTGTCTGGGCTAGTCCAGCAAGGCCATTATACCTGCCAGAAGGTGAGCTAAGCCAGGCTGGACCAAAAACACACTCTATGTACTAAAGCTGTAACTAGGAGGGGACTTGACAGAGAAGCTGGACAATGAAGGAGTGTGCACACGCCTCTACATGCATGCATCAGTGGTTTCAGCAGTACTTATGCTGGGGCTCAGACACCACATACTAAGTCCTCAGGGATACTGCTCAGGCCCAGTCCAACTCATCTGCTATCCTCATAGGCCTCTTTCCCACTCACACTGTGATTTTAGGACATGTGTATCCTTAGAGTGAGCCGATGCTATGTCATATGCAGCTCTTAAAATCCATGAAAGAGCCTTGGGGACCTCTGGAGTGGTGGAAGCAGAATGAAGGAGAGGTCACTGCTTGGTATGAATGAAAAGGGCGTGGAGTGGTCAACAGGCAGGTTTGGTCCAATGTGTTGTACAGTACGTTTCCTTGGTCCAATTTCCCCTGGGTCTTGGCCTGGCAATATGCTACATCCATCCCACAAGGAGAGGGTAGTGTGGAGCAGGCTGTGGGTGCCACTCCCTGCTCTTGGACCTTCTTGGTCTAACAGCTCACCCCTGTCCTTCACCCCTGTCCTTCATTTGTGCTCTAAGGAGATCTGGGAAACTTGGCCTGTCAGGTGCTGAGATGCAGTATTCCTGGACATGCTCTTGTAAAGCTTTCATATCATCACCCTGACTCCTGACCTATTCATAAGGGATGGGCTGAGAGCTGGATGCAGGTCTCAGGGTGCTGGGTGTGGGAGGCGTGAAAGTGCAGACATCTGGCCCTTCCTGGAGAGGATCGAGTCTAGGGTCCATTGGATCCAGGAGCCTGGGGGTTTTATGCCACACACACACTCCCCTGAGAGGGTGATGGACAATACCCAAGGTTATTTTCTTTGTACCCAGGCAGAGCCCATGACTGTGTGGGAGCTGATTGGGGGTGTTGGCAGTGTGCAGAAAGCCCCAGATACACCCTCCCTCTTTCCTTTAAAGGTCATCTGGGAGGTGCAGTGCCCTCAACTCACCCACTCCTAGGAGAAGACAATTGGTCCTGTGGGCTCAGGGACGAAATCTCAGTTGATTTGATTCTGTAAGCGATCCAGTTCCAGCCTGGAGTAGATAAACTCTGGGAGACTCAAACTGGGGGCAGTTTCTTTACCTGCCCGGTCAAGGAAGGAGTCCTGTCCTGCTTCATCTTCATTCATTTCTGATGACATCGTCAACACACAATCTCTGTCACTTACAAGGAACAGGAACTGACAGCTCACAATTCTAGGGGATGAAAAGGCAGAAAGGTAGCCTCCGGGGAGTGGCACACTCATTGACTGATGAGGATCCAGGGCTGCTTCCAAGGTACCACAATCTATGTGTAACTATGACTGTGCACACACATACAGAAAGCTTTAGGGCCTTCCCATTATTACAAGAACACTTCTTTGTGTCTTCACCTTATCCCCAATAGTCCTACATTTTACTCTCTCTCTCTCTCTATCTCTCTGTCTCTCTCAAAAAAAAATCTTTTTTCAGGACAGAGTTTGTGAGGGAGAGAATTCCCATCTGTTTGTTTTATTTCTCCAGAAATACTTGCATTGGCCAGGACTGTACCAGGCTGAAGATGGAATTAGGAACTCCATATGAATCACCCACATGGGTGACAAGGGCCCAAGCTACCAGGCCCATCTTCTGCTGTCTTCCTGGGCACATTGGTTGGGCATTGAAGCAGTTGGGACTCAAACTTGTGTTCTGATACTGGGATGCCAGCACTACAAGCAGCACCTGCCCTGCTTCCCCATACGATGCAAAGGTTTAAGTTCCAGCATTTACTTTTGGAGGGACACAGAC